CCTATATACGCCCCACAGCTGGACACAGGCTTCATTCAGCCTGTATATAAGCTTAAAACTAATTTCGTACAGTAACTTTTAGTTGCACTCGTTATATAATATCATTTTTAGTTTATTTTTTAATTATTTATTAAAACGTACTGACGTTACGTATTATTGTGAATCGACGGCGCTGGTCAACTTGGATTTATTAAAAAAAAAACTGTATAATAATATTTAAACTTCCGTCACATTGGGACACTAGCATCTCGTTTCGATATCTTCGTAATTCAGAAGCTATTTTATTCTTTAACACTCAATTTTAAACACTAGATAACAGTACAAGGGTTCAATTTCGATTGTTCTATTTATAATTGTAACAACAGGGTTTAAAATAGAATGAACAAATAGTTTCTGAAATTCCGTTAGGAACAGGACATATTTTTGACAAACCGTGACTAGTTTACCGGAGTAAAATTACTATGCACAAGAGACACAGGAACATTCTATCTCTTTCTAACACATGAATTTATTCGTAACAATCAAGCCTTCAATACAGCCTTACTCAATACATATTTATTTACTAGAAAGAGACAGCATGTGCCTAAATCGCGTTTCCGTCTTTTTCATTCACAATATACGCTTCCCCTCATTGGTGTTCGAAGTAAGTCACATTAGGCACCGACACTCACTCGTACTCGCACTCACTCACGCACACACCTACAGCTAGCTCACGACTGCTAAGTCGACGGTCGAGTCGACTATCGCTTACAGGAATACCACAAGCAGTGACTCTGTGACGCAAGCACGTGCGTCTTGAAAATTACACATTTATATTAAAAAAAGATGGTGATCACACACAATGGAACGGATATTGGACATAGGATAAATAGCCTTAATGAACAGTACAGGCATTTGTACAGTAAAACCGATAGGAAAATAGTATAGACTTCCAACGAATAGTATATTCGACCGCGCGCCGTAAACCGAATATTGTGCGGGCTTCCTGGCCGAGCATTCAGAGCGTATTCAGAGCGTCTTTTCTCTGAAGCTGGGATTGTCTATGAGAAGAAAAGGTGTAAACTACCGCCGGAAAATGCAGAATAATTAGTCTTTCTGCGCCATAATCCGCCATTTCTAAATTTTATTTACGATAATTTAAGTGCATAGACGTTTATATAATAGTATTTTGTTAATTTTTATACTACTTTAATGATAACCAGGAAAATATGTTATTATGAAATAAATCAATATTTTCATTTCACCAATTATCGCACAACACATATTTGATATTAACAGAATAGGATAAAAGTAGCCAAATAGGCCGAATACCGAACAACAGCCGAATATTCGTTGCAAGTCTAGGTTTCTAGGCATTGTATCCATGTCCAGTTGTGATCTATTTATGGGCCGATGATAATGAACACAAACACAACACAACTCAATCGACAAATGTAAAGGAAGCAGTTACTTGTTTCTCGTTTTGTCACTTGCTTATATACTTATTGCTGAATTCAAAGCGTGTAAGGCCTTTAATTACGATAAAGTTTATATGATAAACTATCTCACTATAGGCGACACGAGCCAACATTTACAACATAAATCTAGCGTCAGTATTGTTAAAGCAATACGGTCTATTTTCGTCACTAACATATGTATTGGCCCTAGTCTTGGTGTCAAATGGGATCGTTAAGTCCCTACTACATAGAACACCTCGATACACGAAAAAGCATTCCAAACTTTGTACAAGGCTTCCTTAAACTCTCATACAACACAAGATTCGTCTCATCTTCGCCTATTAAAACTACTAATAAATATCAACAAATCATTGTCTCATCAAATACATTTGCACTAACATTATTAGTTTTGCATCTAGACCATCACACACCAGGAGAGGAACTGGAAATGTATGAACAAGATATTAAAATATAACTTGGCAAAATCTCTATATAAGGACAGTTAGTTATACTTGTGTGACATTTTAAAGGAATTTTCTAATATTAAACTAGTTTATATTTACTATTGAACACACAACTTGATAATAGGGTCCATTGGAAACATCTAAATGAGGAAATCTGGTAACACTTAGCACACCACTCAAATGTCATAATGTTAACCTCACAAAGCATCTTTTTGTTTGTATCTTGTAAAATAAAAGCTTCATGAAAGTTTGGACATGTCCTATAGAAAATTTAAATAATTATATTTATCTCAAAATTAATGTAGCCGTTAATCTCACTAATATAGTTTAATACACATGCCTTTTGGTCAACAGAATGGCTAGCAAGATACTAGTAGAAACAAGTTACTGGCATATGTATCAAGATTCTGCCTGTAGCTGTGCCAGTACAAACCATACCAAGTTGACGTCCTACAATTGTTAACACATATCTCAACGATCTTAAGCAACTGTTATGTCACAACTTTGAATTGACTATAAAACTTTAATAAACAAATTTGCATGTACTTTCATACCCTCAAATTCTTCTATTGGAAGCATAAACAACCCGTCCATATTGTCACACTTAAGTTTTGCACTATATGAAGAGCATATATGATAATATGTAACAAACTCTAAATAGCGTTAAATTCGTTGATAAGATGTTATGGCCTATAAATAGTTATTGCAAACCAATTTATTTGCTGATCATTTAAAATAAACAAATTCTTGTAAAATTGAGCTAAGCATGAGATTATTTTGAGGTAAACTTGGCATGCCGTAGACAATACCGTATAGTTGCTCTGTAATAATGGTAGCTATATTATCAAAACAACACCTCTAGTAACACACAAAAATTCAGATCGAACATAAATAGGTAATAAATAGCTAAGAGATATCTCAGGTTACAATTAATAGAGTAGTTGACACTTATATCAATTGGTTTCAATGAATATTTTTATAGAAATTGCATGGGAATACAAGTAAATGACGTCAGATTCTTGTAGTCAAATCCACGTATTATAACTTACTTTATTTTAAAACTTAACACTGATCAAGTTTTAAAACTACACAAATAGCAAAATCAAATTATATGACGTAGTAATTTATTGATGATTGATGTCAACTACACCATTAAAGTACATAATATTAGATATAATTTTGTCATTTTTTACAAGAGGAGTGATTAATTCATAAATTAATATTATGCCTTTCTATCATTAGTAGGTAAATGTTTGACTGAAATCCTACCTTATGTGGGATAGTAATAAGATCCTGAAACATTGTGACAAAAAATGAATATACAGTTTTGTTTGAAAAATCCCATACTAACGGTCTTGAAAGACTGACACACTACCCATATGTGTAAACTGTTGAGGTAACGTTTAAAAATATGTAAAAGATTAAGTAAAATTCAGTAATTTTCTTGACTTATTTAAACCACTCAATCTATGAGCATTTTCACTAAACAAACTTTTTTTCTTTGGTAATGAATTCATACGGTTGTACTTTTGACAATGTCAAGTATTAGTAACTTATCCTTTGTAATACTTTTTTCACAACTTGCCACAATATGTTGATGCATCACATTACGCAGGTTTTGGGAGATTTCGACGACAGCTTAAAACAGTAGACGGTCGATAATGAGTATCTCAAGTTTGTAAAGCGCCAAGACGACAAAATAAGATTTATACCAATATGGGAGTTCTTGTCTTATTGTTTCCATATAGTTCACATACGCAGGCACTAAATATACATAATAGCATTCTTTTTTACATATTAACGTTCACTTCAAATCATTATTTAAACGATGAAATCTCCAAATAATCAACACATCAAACGTTTTTACTTAGTTTTTGGTATAATATATATAATTATTCTTAACAAATGACTATGTACATAGTTGCATCATATGTTAAGTCCTGTCCTTGCTCTGTGTTTGGCTTAATTGTGATGTCAAACTTTTTAATTGGTAGCTAATGTAATTTAAATAATATTGTAATTGTGCTTTTGAAGTCTTATCTTGTTCATGATGCTTAGCTTTGACTTGATTGTAGTGCCAAATCTTCCAACTTGTAGTAATTTTATTACCATATAAGTAAACGCTAGTTGTCACTTCATGTGATAATTCTACAGCATCATGGTATTTATTGAAGCATTTTGAGCCATTTTGTTGTAAATTAACATAAATTTTCATTTGAAGACAGTGTTTCACATTGAATGTTGAGTTTCAGCTATTTAAATACACATTATACAGTTTTTATTGTTGGGTACTATGCAGCACTCTCCTATTCCCAAATAAGTGATTACTGGTATTGTTTTACATTTACACATAATTTAGTAAGACAGTCTTAGTTTTCGTTTGTAATGCTTCATGTTAGACTTGTATTTGCCAATCACAGATTTTTATAATATTATGAGGTTTATTGGTATTTGTGAACAATTTTTAATACATTTTTTTTTCCTTGGAAGTGTTGATATGTTTATTCCAGACATAGACAAGACATATCTCAGGCTCTAAGAGTTTAATATACACTAAGTGATTTCACTATGTAATCATGCTTAATGATCTACTTGTTAAGTTTTCCGATTAAACTCCACGCATCAAACTTAGTATTTTTGTGGAGACTTCTCTACACTGACTACAGAGCTTGCCTCGCTTTGATCTGCAGTCCATATCTGCCTCCATTCCATTTCACATTATATTCAGTATAGATTTTGTGTCTATAGATATGCTCTGTTGTCTATGTCTTGGTCAATTCTACAGCAGATGTGATGTTGGGTATTAATTAAATGCACAGATCACAACTTGTAGCCTCGTTACATAGAGCTCCGATCAAACACTTAACACATGTAGCTTCACTCAGCTATCCGTGTATTGGTCCAGTTTATAGCAAGATGTGTTTTAAAGTACGATCTAGCACTGCGTTGGTATCGAGGTCCGGTTTATTTATAGGCGTAGGTTGCACTTTGAGGTCCGTTTTGTATCACTTAAGGCGTTAACTGCACTTAGTAAGGCGCGAATGATTGCTTGCGAGGTTTCGTGTTGTGTGGTGCGGTGAATGTTGAAATGTGCGCTGTATCATCGCTGTGGTGGTTGAGCGAACTGACGCCTCTTCTTGTTCCGAGGGTCCTGACGGCGTTGTGGAGGGGGGGAGCCTGGGTAACGGCGCTGCTTTGCGGTGAACGAACGCGCCCGGTTCTTGCTGTCGTTGTTGTTGTTGTTATTGTTGTTGTTGCCGTAGCGTTGTTGCATTACACCTGTAAAAGAATCAAAGACTTTAATTTCATCGTCATTACATTATATTAGGTGACGTGATGTGGCAATGGACCAGCCATATAGCTCGAAGAACCGACAACCTATGGCGAAGGAAATTCTTGAATGGCAGCCTCGTACCGGTAGACGAAGTGTAAGGCGACCTTTTCACTAGATGGAGTGACAACCTGGTAAACATGTAGGAAGTCAATGGATGCAGGTGGCTCAGGATCATGTGGCATTTATTGGGGGAAGTTTTATGTTCAGCAGTCGACTTGTGAAGGGCTGTAATGAAGGGCCTTTTACAAGTCCACAGCTGAACAAAGGGCATAGCAACTGCAACTGGCAACTGCAGATTTTCTTATTGTTATTGTTATCAAGAAGATGCTACTTGCTCATACAGTTAAAATGATTCAAACAATTATGATTGTGTATTTTCAAGATCGAAACTATACAAAATGTTCGACTGTCTATGTTACACTTAAGTGTGTATCCATAGTATGAGCCCGTCTAGGTCTGATTTTTTTATAGGAAGGGGCAAACGAGCATGCGGCTCACCTGATGGTAAGTGACTACCGCCGCCCATGAACAATTGCAACACCAGGGGAATTGCAGATGCGTTGCCGGCCTTTTAAAAAGGAGTAGGCTCTTTTCTTGAAGGTCCCTAGGTCGTATTGGTCCAGAAAAATCGCTGGTGGCAAAGTTGTGCGAGGAAGAAAACATCTAAATCGCATAGTGGTGGACCGCCAATCATCCAGGTGGTATGGATGGTCGCAAGTTTTGTCGCGATGTGTGATGGTGAAATTGAGCGGCTGGAATTAGTTCGAAGAAAGAGCACTCCCCGTGGTAATACGATAAAATACGCAAAGAGATGCAACATCTCTACGCAGTGGCAGTGAGTCAAGCCGATCGGAAAGGACTCGGTCGTCGACGATTCAAGACGCTCTACGCTGGATGCTGTCAAGTGGAAGGAGCTGGCACTGGGGAGCCCCAGCCCAGAGATGGGAACAGTATTCCATGTGAGGCCAAACCTGCGCCTTGTAAAGTTGCAGGCGTTGTGCCGGCATGAAATACTGTCCCGCTCTGCTGAGCACGCCAAGCTTTTTAGAGGCCAATTTGGCTTTCTCTTCCAAGTGACAACGAAACTGCACGTCACTCGATATGTCGACGCCGAGGATTCGGATACTGGCTGAGGCAGATACGACAAAGGGGTTCCTTTTAGCGGTAAACGAGCCATTCAGTGTGGTGGGCGTTAAAATCGCCAAGTATCACGATCTCTACGGATGGGATCTGTTGTAGTAAGAAATCTGTAGCCATTTGGCCGTGGTTGATGAGTCGGTCTGTGTCGGAATTACCGCTATGGGACCTATACAGGCACCCGTAGACGCGGGGATGGTCATCGCTGTCTACGAGCAGCCAGAGAATGGACAGGTCCGTACCTTCAAGACTGCCGAGGCGTCGAGAACAGATATCCTCTCCGACGTATACGCAAACTCCAACCAAGGGTACAAAGAAGTCTTCTAATTTGTACCCCGGGTTGGACAAGTACGAAGTATCAGCCGAAGAGGATACCTGCGTCTCGGTCAAAAAGAGCAAGGCCGGCTTCGCCGTCTCTAGATGGTAGTGGATGATGTAACACTTGTGCAAAAAGATGGGAGATACAGTGTATCAGTGGATGGATGTTGGTCCTTGTGAAATTTATGTTTGTAAACTGCCCATAAGATACAGGAAAACATGCTAGTGATAACTTTTTTTAATCGAATAACAAAAAAAATTTGTAAGAAGCATTGTTGATGAGACTGGCATTGTCTGAGCTATCAATAATTTTGCATTTATGTAAGTCTAATGGGATGTCATGTGCCATATTTTTATTTCTCGGAATTGTAGGTTTTTTTTAACGAATAGGGTGCTTGGTAAATCCATTACAGCTTATTTATGGTCATTAATAGAATCAGGCGTTACTTTGCGGAAGTCCATTATATTAAAATTGACAAAAAATTACTTTGCGTACATCCGCTCGATAAAATAAAATGATGTGTCTTACCTAGTTTGAAGAGCACCACCCGTCTTTCCTTAATTGCGTGCACTATCCCCGTCACCACTAATCCCAGCACCACTACTCCTAACACCATTACACTAGGAAAAACACATCACATTCAGTGATGTGTTTTTCCTAGTGTACGACACGTGTTTCGCCTCTACACGAGGCATTCTCAGGTGATATAGACTCTACGGTGGTTAACTGCTAAGTGAGCTCATTAGGTAAGACACATTATTTTATTTTATCGAGAGGATGTACGCAAAGTAATTTTTTGTCAACTTTAATTTTTATTTATGATTAATTAAAAAGTAATAGAGACACTTTTTATCTCTGGGTGTCATAAGAGGCAACAGAGGGAAATGAGATAAGAGATGAGCAGCATCTTCCTGATAACAATTCAAAATTAAAAATAACTGCAGTAGCCTAACGGATTGCCAAGTGTGGCGACTATTTCAAATATCCCCCCCGCCATGACGCCATGGAGGAGGTTTTCTTTCTGATAAGGCTGATGATGGTAAACAAAGGTTAATGTTTTTAAAGAATAAGGGTGGACAATCAAGCACACAGTTCACCTGATGGTAAGTGGATACTGTGGCCCATAGACATCTACATTTATCCTTGATGAAGATGGATACTGTGGCCCATAGACATCTACATTTATCCTTGATGAAGAATCAAAATGCAGATTTGTTGCTAGCAGTAAAGAGTCTCTGATTCTCCACACTCTATTTAAGAAACACAGCAGCATTATTTTGAAATTTTACGCTGGTATTCTGTGAAAGCGTGGTCTTACGCCAATGGAGTCCACCCATTTGTGCTGCATGCGTGTACTACGTAAATAATTCTGTTTATTTTCCATTAAAAAGGGTTTCCAGTTGTGTTAATATTTTGAGTGAATATTTAACAGGAAAGGCGTGGGCATTTGTGGTGTTGTTCTGTTGGGTCGTGAGGCTCACCGGACGGTATGTTGTTGAAGTCGGAGTTGCTGGTGATGTGGTGGATGATGAGGCTCTGGTGCGCGGACACGCGGCGCGGCGTGGGCGACGAGCACTGCAGCGCCGACAGCGGCGGCGGCGGCGGCCATTTGTGGTGTTGTTCTGTTGGGTCGTGAGGCTCACCGGACGGTATGTTGTTGAAGTCGGAGTTGCTGGTGATGTGGTGGATGATGAGGCTCTGGTGCGCGGACACGCGGCGCGGCGTGGGCGACGAGCACTGCAGCGCCGACAGCGGCGGCGGCGGCGGCCATTTGTGGTGTTGTTCTGTTGGGTCGTGAGGCTCACCGGACGGTATGTTGTTGAAGTCGGAGTTGCTGGTGATGTGGTGGATGATGAGGCTCTGGTGCGCGGACACGCGGCGCGGCGTGGGCGACGAGCACTGCAGCGCCGACAGCGGCGGCGGCGGCGGCCATTTGTGGTGTTGTTCTGTTGGGTCGTGAGGCTCACCGGACGGTATGTTGTTGAAGTCGGAGTTGCTGGTGATGTGGTGGATGATGAGGCTCTGGTGCGCGGACACGCGGCGCGGCGTGGGCGACGAGCACTGCAGCGCCGACAGCGGCGGCGGCGGCGGCCATTTGTGGTGTTGTTCTGTTGGGTCGTGAGGCTCACCGGACGGTATGTTGTTGAAGTCGGAGTTGCTGGTGATGTGGTGGATGATGAGGCTCTGGTGCGCGGACACGCGGCGCGGCGTGGGCGACGAGCACTGCAGCGCCGACAGCGGCGGCGGCGGCGGCCATTTGTGGTGTTGTTCTGTTGGGTCGTGAGGCTCACCGGACGGTATGTTGTTGAAGTCGGAGTTGCTGGTGATGTGGTGGATGATGAGGCTCTGGTGCGCGGACACGCGGCGCGGCGTGGGCGACGAGCACTGCAGCGCCGACAGCGGCGGCGGCGACCTGCCCGCCCCCGCGCCCGCGCCCGCCCCCGCACCCACCGTGCTCACACCTCCGTCAGACCACTCCTGCAAAAAACATATGATGCCTTATATTTTTCATGGTAAAATCTATTTTTTACTAGACTGCCTGCTGAGGATAATGTTTTTCGAGTGTATGTGTGTATATATCCATTTATCTGCGACGCTCTGTAACCTAAACGGCTTGGTAGATTTCAAGTGACCACTGCAGTCTTTGAATGGCTATAATCAACTTCAAACAACGAAGATATGCCTAATAACTTGCTCACTATCTGTTCGCGCCAAGCGCTAATGTCAAGAATCGACGCCAGATGGCACTCGGCTCGGCGCGATACAGGTTGAAGTTCGGCCGAGCGTGGCAAGGGCGCGCGGGTCGCGAGCGAAAAGGCTGAGTCGTCTGCCAGCTGTGCTTGGAACAGCACGCTGTCATTTTTGTCGGGAACTCGGAATAATTAGGCGCGTCTAGTAAATATACTGTCTGGGATTAGTAACGCGCATTCCTTGCTGGAGAGCTTCCCCGGGACTCATTGTGTCTGACTCAGAATCTGTATAAATGCATTCGACAATATTAGCTAGTGCGGCATTTGATATTCTAGAAATAACTGTTGCCACGCGAAACGGTAGTGACCTTTGATCCGGACACTCCGAGTTCGTTTTGTGTGTTAAGCTTTATAACAAACGAGAGTTAATGGCTTCTGTAAGTTAGTTAATCGTACGATAGAGTTAATGGACTGTCATCGTGACAAACGAAGAAAGTGACTGTGGACGGCGCCGCGGAAGATTACCTCAATTTGGAGCGCTGCTGACGTCCAGGCTGCTGCCGACGGCAAAGGTCTAATAAGGTCAATCACCCCCAGTCACACCCAGATACACATCACAACACCTTATTTCCCTTGCACCACACAACCACATGCAACCTGACCGAATCCTGAGGGACCAGTCGCCTTGGATATAGGTAAGTAAGCTCCGTTTAATATTCTCCCTGTTGAATGACAGTAGTATAGAACGCTCCCCCTTATTGTTTATTGTAGTTAGAGACTTTCCACTTTGGCCTTAGGAGGCCCGACCTACGTCTGTTCGTTGAAAATCTGCTGAATGGGCCCCAGAGGAATTGACCTTTATGGGAGCAGCCGTAGGCCGTAACACTATCTTTGTCCTTCCGACTGGGACACTTTACTACTTGGCAGCAAAAATGAAAAAGGAGGTGGTTCCTACCCAGATGGAAGGATCAATTTCAAGGAAATAAATCAAGGTTTCCCATTATTATTAAAAGACAATGGTCCCAATTGAAAAAGTTGGTTAGTTACTAGATATGTGGGTGGCGGTACCGACCTGGTCGCTGTCGCTGGGCTCGGGGTCGGGCGGCGAGGGGTGGGGCGAGTGGTGGTGCGGCTGGGGCTGGTGGTGCGGCGGCGTGGGCGCGGGCGGCGCGGTGAAGAAGTAGGGGTGGAAGGTGTCGCGCACCCAGCGCCGGTACTGCAGCACGTGGTCGGTGACGCGCACCACGCGCCCCAGCGCGCTGTGCCGCGCCACCAGCGAGCTCTGCGCCACCGCCTGCTGCAGGATGATGTACCCGTAGTCGAACGCCTGCAACAACACCACACACTACTCTTATACAACCATATTTAAGGAACTTATTTTACGGCTTCTATCGCGTTTAATTCTAAACCCCCAACGCAAACAGAGGAGTATTCGGTAGCGAAGCCTCCATAGAAGCCGAGAAGGCGGGCTTGCCCTATCAAACTGCTCAATCAATAATATCAACTAATATAAGTCGTAAACTGTTTCAAACTATTTCAAATTTCCCGCGCGCTCCTCTGTTCTACACAGGTCATTAATTGTCGCGGCAAAATTGCGCAATACTGCTGTCATAAAAAAGGAGTTGAGTTGAGCGATAAGTCGTCTCTCTCGCACGCGTGGGCTTTTTATCGGGCTTTCGAGAAAACGATCGCTCCCTTTCTAACCTGTAGCAAAATGTTCTATAAGTTCTGCAGCATATGCCGTAAAAAAGATTAGAAGTCTAACTAGTGTTGAAACAGCTAGACTAGTTTACTTTAGCTATTTCCATAGCATAATGTCGTATGGTATTTTGCTATGGGGACACGCAACTTACACTGAAATTATATTTGTTTTACAGAAGAGGGCCATAAGAGCAATTTATGATTTAAAGCCTAAAGAGTCGCTGCGACAAAAATTTAAGGAAATTAATATATTAACTTTGGCCTCTCAATACATTTATGAAAATGTAATGTACGTACACAAAAATAAAAGTAGTTTTACAAAAATAAGTGATATTCATTCTGTAAATACTAGGAACAGACACAAGCTAGTAGTACCAGTTACTCGACTCCATCGAGTCAGTAATTCATTCTTGGAGCGATGTATACGCTTTTACAACAAAATTCCAGAAAATATACAAAATTTGAACTGCTCAAAGTTCAAAACTTTATTAAACTAAGTTTGTATAAAAAGGGTTATTATAATATTAATGAATTTATAGATGATAATAACCCCTGGAAATGAGGTGATCGCTACCAAGCTATTTCTAATTTGTTGTGTTGTTAATTTGTGTAACATACATGATTGTAAGCTGTTATTTAAAAAAAAAGTCCCGCTGGGTTTCTTGCTGGTTCTTCCCTGGACAGAGGTTTTTTTTTCGAACCAGTGGTAATCATACAAAAGAGTGACTTTCAATAAGTATTATTTATAATCTATATTGAATAAAAAAAAATTAAATATAACTACGATTGTTTATATAACAATTAGCATGGAGTGATGATAAGCTAGGCTTTCGGTGTGAAGTTAGTCGAGCGCGGGGGCGCGCGGGCGATACGTTTGCAAATTCACTTCACATTTCAATGTTTACTCTGTGTGTTTACTTGAGCGAAAGAATATTGCGAGTTGAAAATTTATGTTTTTTTATTTAAAGATTTTTAGTGAAAATGCGCGATAATAGTGTTTTTTGTGATGAATTGAAGCATGTTAAAGTGCTAATCGGCGAAGAAAAGGTAAAATCTTTAAAATTTGTTGAGAAAAAACAGCTCATATCCACGCTGAAACCAACGCCTGATCTGTGTATTTCTCAGAGCAGTAAAACTCACAAACTGCAATTTAATAGATCTGTTTACAAACCTCATTGGATTGTCGGCTGCTCAAATACCAACAAGTTGTACAAAAACACAGAGAGCAATTGTGTCTGATTCTCCGATATTATTATGGAAACGATATTCATGGCCGTTTTTTGGGGTATGTAGATGTGCCTGAAAGTCGCACAGCAAACACACTTTGTAATATCATATTGGAATTATTAAACAAACATGACTGCACCACAAAACTAGTTGCGCAAAGCTATGACGGTGCAAGTGTCATGTACGGTGTCAGAAATGGAGTGCAACAAAAAGTTAAAGATGTTTGTCCCCAAGCCATGTATATTTGGTGTAATACACACATTTTGGGATTAGTTTTATCTAAATCTTGTAACAGGGTTGGGGAAGTCAGCACTTTTTTTCAGCCCTTCAGGTTATTCCCATAATAAAGACATGGTTTGTACTGAGACCAAATACAAAGGTGACTTTTTATTTTGTCTGAGGGTTTGTACAAAAAATATAACAATTTTTTTTTCTCATCTAAGCGTATATTATAATATCTATAACATTAGTGCTAAAAGCGAAGTAATAAACTCGCTTTTACTAATCCGTCTTCCATGATGCCTTTTCAATAAAATTCCAGCCACAAGTTCCTCTGCAGAACGTGCTTTCTCATCTCTGAAGCGCATCCATACTTATTTGAGAAATACACAAGGTCAAGAGCGTCTTTCAGACTTATCAATTATCGCGAATGAAAAACAGTTATTGGTACAATTAAAACGTTCACCAACATTTTACGCGGACGTAATCAAACATTTCCTTAAGAAAGAGAGACGATTTGATTAAAAATATAAATAATTTGTTTTTTTTTTAATTTTATACATTGTTTGTACTTTGTTCATGCTTTTCTTTTGTTCATGTATTGTATTGTATGTAAGTATCTTTTTCTTTCGCTCAAGCAAACCCAAACGGCTTTTTTCAAAGCCACCAAAGGTATACAATTGCTGATATGTCATACAATCTATCTAGCAGTAGTATGCCTTCTGTGTGCTTTGTTAAACACGTCCTCTACAGCACTGAATATGAAACTGAAGAGTGGAGACAGATGAAGATTGGTGTATTTTTATAAAAATTAATTTTTTTTTCCACGAGCCAAAGAATTCAAAACACAACTAACAAGCCATACCTGTTTGACTTGTAGCGCTCCGTAGCTAGAGCGCCCGATGTCGTTACCGGGCGTTAAAGGGTCCTCGATGCACAGTAGCGATGGACGGTGACCATCATTCATTTCCTGTAATCATTTATTAATTCATTACAGCTCTTCAGAAGCCCATAACTGAGCATAAGGTTCCGCCACAGAATGCCACAAAGCACACTCTCACAGAATACCAACTTAAAATAGCAGCTTAATGATGCTGTGTTTCGTATGGTGAGGGTAAAAAACTGGAGACCCTTTTCACTGGAACCGAGGCATCTCATCTTAGTCCTCAGGGGTGACAATGCATCTGCCTTTTTGTTCTTAATCGAAGATAGATGTAAATGTATCAGGTGGACTGTGTGTCCGTTTGTCGCTCTTATTTTCTTTAAAAAAGTGATGATTTACCACATGCTCAAAGGTGAAGGTGTAGGGAAAACATCGTGAGGAAACCAGCATGTCTGAGAAATAAAATATCTCAAAGAAAAGTAAGGTCAGCCAACATATAGGGATATCGAAAACCCTGTTAGAAAAGAGAGGAGGCCTATGCCCAGCAGTGGAACATATAAAGTTTGTAACGTTAATTTACTATTCACCTCTCGGTCACATACTTTCGCTGTATATAAAATAAGAGATCTTTGCCCACCAGTAGGAAATATAAGGGTTCTTTTTCTGTTTTATTTGTTAACAAGCTTACGATATTTAAATTGATATTTTATTTTATAAACAAAAGATTTACAGCTTTACCATACACCGATATAATACTGATAAAGGTATCGGTTGCATCTTTATTAATAATTTACTATCCATCTCTCCTAACATACTTTCTCTGTACATGACAAAAAATCATAACTCACCTTCTGAAGCTCGTCCTTTGAAACATACGATCCCCCATTCTTGACCCGAATAGCAGTCTTGACATAGTTGAACTTCCTTCCATAGAGTTCGAAGAACTCTATCAACAAAACTCCAAGGTTGTGGGGCTGCCTTAACCGCTCGGGTCGCGGATGCAGTTGGAGAAAGCTGATGCACATGAGGATGAGGGAGTAGGAAGAAATGCCTCCAGTGAACACTTCATTCAGGTCGCGCTGGAGGAGGAACTGTTTTAGCACCATCACGAGCCGAGAGAGGACTGGGTATTTCTCCTGAAATGAGAAAAAAAATTAGTTGAAAAATAGCAAAGCTGATTTTTTTATAGTAAGCAGTAAACTAATGCTGTGATCAACATCTAAGTTTTATTAAGAATTAAAATGCTGATGCGCTATCACCCCTGAGGACTAAGATGGAATGTCTCGTTTCCAGTAAAAGGTAACTCCGGTTCTCTATACTCACCATACGAAACAAAGCTATTCTGTGAGAGCGTGGTCCTACCCCAGTCGAGCCAACAAATTACACATATAAATACAAATTACAATAAATTACAAATACAAAAATAAGTGATATTCATTCTGTAAATACTAGGAACAGACACAAGCTAGTAGTACCAGTTACTCGACTCCATCGAGTCAGTAATTCATTCTTGGGGCGATGTATACGCTTTTACAACAAAATTCCAGAAAATATACAAAGTTTGACCTGTTCAAAGTTCAAAAACTTTATTAAACTAAGTTTGTATAAAAAGGGTTATTATAATATTAAGGAATTTATGGATGATAATAACCCCTGGAAATGAGGTGATCGCTACCAAGCTATTTCTAATTTGTTGTGTTGTTAATTTGTGTAACATCATGATTGTAAGCTGTTATTTAAAAAAAAAAGTCCCGCTGGGTTTCTTGCTGGTTCTTCCCAGGACAGAGGTTTTTTCCGAACCAGTGGTAATCAAACAAAAGAGTGACTTTCAATAAGTATTATTTATAATCTATATTGAATAAAAAAGTTTCTGTTTCTGTTTCCAACCCATTCGTACTACAACCATAATAAAGCTGCAGCATCCAATGGTACAAAGACATTAAACGGTGACTGTGGAGAGTATGTAATATTCAGCTGGTCCAAGGTTTACTGTGATTTACAAGGTGGGACTAATTGTGATTGTCCCAGTGTCCAAAATGCAATATTCAAGATCTATTACCAACTAGAGAAGCTCATGTCCTGGAGTGGATTAATTACTGGCTGATGTAAAGGAGGATATGTATTCACTACCTTATATCGTCCTGTGGTGTCGCAAGAGGCGCCAGAGGGAAACAAACCAGGAGATGAACAGCAGCAAATAAAAATCTCCGACTGCCAACCTGCCTCTACCAAGCGTGGCAACTATAGCATATATAGGCGTTTGATTGGCTGTAGCGGTAACGACATGCTACAGCTATATTATGGTTGTAGCAGGAATGGGTCGGCTCGACCGGGGCAGGACCACGCTCTCACAGAATACCTGCGTAAAATAGCAGCTTAACACTGTTGTGTTTTGTATGGTGAGTGTAGAGAACCGGAGACCCTTTTTACTGGATACTAGGTATTCCATCTTAGTCCTCAAGCCACAGTATCCAATTAACATGAGGTGGACTGTGTGCTTGTTTGTCACCCTTATTCCTTTAAAAAAATGTTATTCTGGGTGTTGTGGCCCCTTCTGCTTAGGATTCCATCTCAACCACTCTCTCACCTATTATGCCGCTAAATAACAGTTCTTGCACAATTTTCGCCATTACAGACTGAGGCATCGTTTCTTATTGTATCAATGTAGGCTAAAAAGGAATACCTTTTTAGCCTACATTGTTTGTATTTGGCCGCAATGTCCATGGACTGCAGTAGCTTCCACCATCAGGTGGACTCTAAGTTTGTTTGTTATTTCAGTTTTATAAAGAAAATATTATCATGGCAGAGTTTTCCCATGCAATCACTATTTATAATAACAATATCCTCCAGACAGTTTCGAGCCTCAACGGAGACTAGCCATCGGCGCAGGACAGGATTATAGTGCCCAAGTGTATGCGCAAGCACAGGTGCACTCTCTATACCAGTGGTTCCCAACCAGTGGCCCACAAGAGCTTAAATATGGTCCGTGAAAGATTAAATATTTTACCTACCTAATCGTTTTAAGTTACACATTTATTATTTCCTCGTCACGCGAGCAGTGCAACACCGCGCGTCATGTTAGTAACCTATATTTTACACAAATAATACTGTTAATAAATGCTTTTTTTTTCAGTTTAAACAAATTATATAAATATGTTAAAAGTTGTGATTATAATTTTTAGTTAGATTAACACATTGTTTTCTTTTACCTTGTGAAGTGGCTAACTACAAAAAATATCAAAGTGGTCCCTGATCAAAAAAAGGTTGGGCAACCCTGCTCTAACACCCTCACTCTCATAGTTCAATAGGGTTATCCGACACGACCGCAGAGAGATCAGACTCTTTACGTGCTTTTCGAAATAAGGGGGTGAAACACCACCAACTTCCTGACTCCGGCCTGCTACTGAGAATTTCTTTACAGAGAAACCCAACAGCTGATTTTGGCGCGACCCGGAATTTGAGCTCAAGACCTCATGTCCAGCAATCGTCTTTAAGACCACTAGTCCAACGAGGCAGTCAAATATTCAAATAACGCCGCCGTCACTACATCATATTTGATAAAGAACACCGATTTCTTCAAATGACGATAGGCAAGGCTACTGAAATTAAAAAAAAACATCCCAATTTCAATAGAGAAGATGGCTAGCCGCTACCATCTGTTTAGTATCCTATAATGCATCACATAATTGAAGACATGAGTGGATGAAGGTGATATGTCGCATTTTTGGATTTTCGCTGTTTTATGCATATATGGAGGTATTATGTCCATACAAACAATTTTAAACCTTAAAACAACTGATTTTGTAGCTATTTTAGAAATTAACTACTTGATGAAGGTGTTATGTACACCATTTTCTTAAATCAATAATGGAAGTAGGTTGTATGGGCACATAACAATTTTATAGAAGCCAAAAAAGTAAAAAGTTTACTTTTCTACAGTGGAAGCAAGACTTGTATGTAACATCGTACTCTATGTACTTCAGTGAATGAAGGTTTTATGTGTCGATATTGTTGACTCGATTTTTTCGATTCCATTTGCTTGATACACCTGTGGAAAACATTGTTTACGAAAATTATAACCAAAAAAATGTCCGGCAAGGTAAGTTTTTTTTTCTTTATAGTATATATATATATACTATAAAGAAATAAATAAATATATATATATATATATATATATATATATATATATATATATATATATATATATATATATATAACTAACTGTTCACCGCGGTTTTAATTTCGTTTACTAAGCGTCTTAACGTAATGATATATAGCTTATAGCCTTATAGTTTACCTCAATTTGTGGGCTATAAACACAAAAATATATTTTATATCACACTTTGAGCACGTGCAACCATGCAAGCCAACAAGTCTTTATAATAAACACTAATTTTGACGATATCTTTTAATTTATATGAATGATTTGGGCATGCTTACATGACGAAACATATTCATTCATTTTATTGATAATTGGGTAAAGGTTCAGTTAGATGCGTATACACGTCATAGCACGCTTGGTTTTATAACGTATTTTAATATTTTTATTAATTTGTTTTTTCTGCACTATTAAATTTTCGTCTTTGCACGCATGTTTTTTCTCTCTGCTTAAGGGCTTCTTTTCCCTTCTAGATAAATGCAACATGGAGTTAGTGTCTCAGCGTGAGTGTGAATGTATTCAGCAAGAACAGACCCCTATACCTTTATTTTTTAATTTTTCTATCGATCAAGAAATAAGTTAATAAGTAAGTAAGATTGGTGACAGAGCTTATCACCAAGAGTACTTTATACTTGCTCATCCGTCCACCAGTAGATTTCAGAAAAATACTGTTAAACTCCGAGAAAATGCTGATAGTGCTAGTTATCATGACCTTGACATTGCATACCCATCTACCAGTGGGAACCAGGAAAATGAAGACCCCAAGAATATGATAGATCCAAGAAACGAAAAATATTCCCGTCAAGGAAAACAAATTAAAAGAAAACAAATTAAAAGAAAACAATTTAAAAATGAAAAGCCTTGGAAAAAAAAAGCTGCAGCCTTTGATTAGTAGGAACAAAGAACATACAAATAACAAAAAAATAAGTTTTAGGGATGACGTGAAATACATCAGAGTTGATGAATATGGATCATATTTATACAAAGAGTCATATGACGAAATGACACCATTCAAGAAGGTTGACATTTTAAAAAGAAAGGGGTTAAGTTAATACAGATTTTGAGGTGCCACGTGTGGCTAGGAAATATGGTACTGTGTCGGTTGAAAAAAAAAGCTAATATAAAGCAGCAATTAAAATTTGTTAAACCGGAATACCGTTATTATTATGAGTCGATTTTAAAGGAAGAATAATCGTTTTTCGTTTGTTTTGAGTTTGTTTTCCTAATTTCTCAAAGAACTTGACTCTTTCAGACTCAATTTTGTCAATTTGTTTAAATTATCTTTTGCGGAAGAATGAGTTATGTTCAGTTTTTTAAAAAAATAAAGTACTAAAATACATTTTATTTTTTAATTTCTTTGCTATTATAAAAATACTGAGCAGCTTAACGCCATTCTGCATTGACACCATTGACACCGCTTGACACCATTTCTGCATAAATACACTGAAAGCATTTTGAAATATCTTCAAATATTTATGCGAAACTTTAAACGCAATTTTCTCGAAATAAGAATTTTGCGACATATCACCTTCATCCACTCATGTCTTCAATTAATAAAATTAAAACCAAACGCAAGCATACAACCACAAGACTTCAAGATATTTTTTAAAATTAAAAATTTTAAACTGAAATTTAACTATGACATTAGGACGTCGAACACCTCCGTCAACAACCCCCCCCCCCCCCCCCCTGCCGTGACAGTGAAATTTAGTTTCATTTAAATAGGGTGGTAACTGATAGTTTCCATCGCAACCCTACAGCGCCCCATTGTAAAGTACCTCTGTGGCGTCTACTTACTAATTTGTATCTAAACAGAGCCAGCCACGTGATGTAACCGCCGGCGATATTTGAACTTGCGCGGTCAGGTCAGAATCTTCAAGGCCGCTCCGTTATGTCATACGAGTACACTGAACGCAAATTAAACATGGCAGCATTCCTAGCTCCAAGAACACCGATACCTACCAATGGATGTTTCGCGAGGCGATCGAAATTAAAAAAACATCCTAATTTCAATAGAGAAGTTGAATGGGTGCTACTGCTACTGTCTGCTTAGGATGCTATAATTAACTCCAAGGCCACATTGGGGCGTCAAAGTAAAAGTTAACTCAGTTTCAGTTGGAGGCACTATACTCTACGTATAAAAATCAATTGCTGTCCGATAGTTTCGCTAACGGCTCCAACGATTTTGTATGCGTTTGAGTGGATCCCTACATGGTTTAGATTTACAATTGGACCCGGTAGGTGGCGCTGTTGTCGAGATCCAGAAATCAACCGTGCGAAGCCGTTTAAAATAAATGAAACGCGATAAAAACCTTAATATAAGTTTTATTGAATGTCACGTATTCGTGTAAATATAATAAAATCATTATTCGAATAAGAATATAGATTTGTATAAATTGAAACTTGCTAAGTGCGAAAACTTTACTGACCTTAAACTGTTTGATGAGCTCTGCGCTTTTTACCCCACTGCTCATGTTGAACGAGATGTCCACCTGGTGAAGAAAAACGTATATCAATTAGAACATCATTCATTCATTCATCATCATCACAGCTCTTCACAAGTCCAATGCTGAACCGAGGCCTCCCCCAAGGAATGCCACAAAGCACGGTCCTGAGCCACGTGCATCCATCGACTACCTACATGTTTTACCAGCTCGTCACTCGATCTAGTGGGGGGCCGCATTATTGCGGATATCCGCAGAATTTTTTTTATAGGATGGGGTGACAAACGAGCACACAGTCCACCTGATGGTAAGTGGTTACTATGACCCATAGACATCTACATCAATCCTCAATAAAGACTCAAGTTGCAGATGCGTTGTCACCCGTGAGGACTAAGATGGAATGCCTCTTTGCCAGTAAAAGGGGTCTCCGATTCTCTACACTCACCATACGAAACACAGCAGCGTTAAGCTGCTATTTTACGCTGGTTTTCTGTGAGAGCGTGGTCCTTCCCCGGTCGAGCCGACCCATTCGTGCTACAACTGTGCCTATAAATGTCCACTGATGAACATAGGCCTCCCCTCTGTGATTGCCTCATAGGGGGATTTTGCCATATCTGCCACGCTTGGCAGGCGAGTTGGTGTACGCAGTTTTTTATAATTTGGAAATGTTATCACGAAGATGCTGCTGCCCATACACATACATACACATATTCCTTCTGTCGCCTCATACGACATTCCCGGGCGATCTTAAAAAAAATATTATTATTATTATTATTTATACTTTATTGTACACCACAAAAAAAAAACGATAAAAAAGAACAAATTACAAGGAGTAAAACTTAAGAGGTAGGTACAATAAGGCGGTCTTATCGCTAATAAGCGATCTCTTCCAGACAACCTTAAGATTAGGAGAAAGTTGTTCTATTGGACAGTGGGAGGTGGTGTATATTATAGTAAACTTACATACTAATACCTAAATAAACTAAACTGATACATAATGAAAAAAATAATACACTAATATATACATTCAAAATATAATAGACATACATAAGATTAAGTAGGCAAATATACATAAAAATTAAATAAAAAAATACAGAGAGGATACAAAAAATACATGTCGCAAATGATGACCAGTAGTTAATGCACTGTTAGGTAGTAATTTTTGACGTCAGTCTTAAACTTTTCTAGTGTTTTCGCACGACGAATTTGCGAAGGAAGATCATTCCATAAGCAGATGGCCTTAACTGTGAAGGAGTTTTTAAAGTATTTAGTTCGATATGAATGTGGTGCGAGTATAAGTTCTCCGGCTGACCGTAGAACTCTGTCCGGTCTGTCATGACCAAGAAACTTAAAGTTTTCCTTTAGATAGCTAGGAGTCATTGGATCGAATAATACACAGTACAGAAGAGAAACAATTTGTAGGTTCCGGCGAAGGCGAATGGGTAACCACTTGAGCTTTAAACGGAATTCGGAGACATGGTCATATTTGCGCAAGCCAAATATGAACCTAATAGCCAGATTTTGAATACGCTCAAGTTTGTTTAGTTGATCTTCAGTTACATCAAGATAGCTTGCGCCCGCATAATCGAGAATAGAGAGGAGTAAAGATTGTGCTAACATAATTTTAGTAGGAATGGGAAGGAAAGAACGTAAACGCCGCAATAAACCCATAGCAGCAAAAGTCTTTCTGCTAACTTCTTTCAATTGATGAGACCACGAGAAAGTAGTATCGAAGTGGATACCAAGATTTTTAACGGTGCTACTGTAAGGTATTACAACACCATTCAATACCACCGAGGGAAAGTTATTCCAGTCAACTCTTGAAATCATCCCAGCACCACCAACAATAATGGCCTGCGACTTACAAGGATTAACCTTAAGCCCATAGTATTTACTCCATTCGCTAATAGCCGCCAGGTCAGCATTGATGGCAGAAACAGCGGTAGGCAGGTTCTCAAGAGTTGACTGCGTATACACTTGAAGATCGTCTGCATACATGTGATAGAGAGAAGAAATTTTGTGACAGATCGAATTAATGAAGATAGCAAAGAGTAAAGGAGACAACACACCACCTTGAGGCACTCCAGCTGGTAGTTCACACCAAGATGAAAATTTATCTTCAACGCGAATACGCTGCCGGCGGCCCCTAAGATAACTTTGAAACCATCCAACCACTGATGGAGATATGTTAATGGAACGTAACAGGCTCAACAAGATATCAAAATCTACGGTATTGAAGGCATTGCTAAAATCTAATAATACCAACACAGTGAGCTGTTTATTATCCATACCTCGTCGAATATCGTCAGTAACTTTAACCAGAGCTGTAGTCGTACTATGACCTGACCGGAAACCGGATTGAACAGGATTTAAAAGGGAATTTCTATCTAGATATTGACATAATTGTTGAAAAACTAGTTTCTCTAGGACTTTAGATAGAAACGGAAGAATGGAAATTGGGCGAAAGTCGGTAAAATGTGAGGCTTGGGCCTTCTTAGGGAGAGGAATTACTTGTGCGCTTTTCCAAGCTTCGGGGAATTTAGACGTGGAGATAGATTTATTCAGGATATGGGTGAGAATGGGAGTAACAAATTCAAGGATTGGTAAGATCATGTTACGACTAACACTGTCATCACCCACGGCTTTAGACGAGATGGACAATATGTTCTTTTTAACATCACAGTCAGTGAAAGGAGTGAACTTAAACGGTGGGAAATTAGGAGTTGGCGTTGAAGAAAGAATACTCAGAGTGCGTTCTTTATCTGAGCTGTCTATTGTACTAGAAGAAGTAAAATGTTGGTTAAGGAGTTCAATATCAAAATTATGCTGAAATGAGCTAGAAGATGCTTTGCCAACTCCAAGTGATTGAAGAAATTTCCAAACCTTGGCAGTGTCGCCGTTTTCGACTGATTTATGAATGTGGCGTCGTTGTGCATCCCTACACAATGTATTGCAGCGATTCCTAACTTTTTTGTAGTTTCGCAGATTTTTGTCAGATCTTTCAGCCTTGAGTTTGCTTTTCGCGAAGCCTTTTTTGATAATAAGATGTTTAAGGTCATCGGTCAGCCATGGCGCAGGTGAGTGCATCATCTTTATTGGTTTTACTGGTGCATGAACGTCATATAGTTGTATGAGAAAAGAGTTAAACAACTCAACCTTTGTATCGACCGTAGAGGCATTTTCCACAGCGGTCCAATCCAAAAGGCGAGCATCTTCAATAAGACGTTCTTTGTCCATTCCACTAAAATTACGTTGCAGAAGGATTCTCGATTTTACTTTAGGAGGACGAACTTTGTATGTAAGAAATAAGAGATCGTGGTAAGAAAAAACATCAGCCTCATGTTGGCCGTGCTTCTGGACAAAATCAGGCGAGGAAACAATAATTAAGTCAAGTAAAGATGGGGTACAATCAGGAAGATTATGTGTAGCAGAAAGCGGTAATATATGTAAGTTACACGCCTGTACAATGGATTGTAGCTTCTTACACCGATTGTCTCTTTTAAGTAAACATGTATTAAAATCACCCATAATTATGGTGTGACTATAGGACGGGGACAATTTTTCTAATAAACATTCAAATGAGGAGAAGTAATCAATGTGGAGAGACGGACTGTAACAAACGCCTAGAAGAATTTTCGTATGAGACAGAGTAACTTCAATAAATAAATGCTCGACCGCATTAGAAGGAGGAGGCTGAGTTGACAAACTTACAACAGTAAAGGGAATGTAAGAACGAAGGTAAATCGCCACCCCTCCACCCCCCTTACCAATACGGTCGTTGCGAATGAGATGAAATCCCGGTAATGAGTATGAAGTGGATGGTAAGCATGGCTTCAACCAAGATTCGGAAACAAGAATAGCGTGAATGTTACGGGACTCAAAAGACGCAAGCATATCAGGATAGTGGGCTGGAACACTTTGTGCATTTAAGTGAATCACATTAAAATTCATCAGAGAATCTGAGAAGTACGAATTAAGGGCATCATTTAACGGAATAGAAGACATTGTACTGTGAAAGCTAAACTCACTAGATGTAACATCACTTGGCAAAGACAAAAAATCATCAAAATCATCATTAACAACACTATTATCGAACGACATTATAAAATAAACTAAAAATATATATAATAAACTATTAAATAACAAAAGGTATGAAAAATAAATATACGGAACCCCAACCCGCCAGCAGTCTGAAAGAGATTTACATTAGTTAAAAAAACATATATCGTATGTTTCAAAGCAACTAACACAAAGTAACAAAAAAATGATAAAATCAAAAAAAAAAAAACAAATCGTGACGAAAAACGATAAAGTGAAAACTTAAACAGCATTTAGCCAATTTTAAGAATAATGTATTATTGGTAGTATATTAATAACATAATAAGCATGTATAACATTAAATAACCAAAATTAAGCATAACGCTATAAAAAACTAGTTATAAATAACGTTACGTTAATAGCGCTTTTATTGTATCATTTTCACTCATAGACATAGTATTTTCATTGCATAAACGAAACGCAATAAGCAATAACAAAGACAGGTTTTAAATAGTGATTTATAAACTCTATGGTTGAGAATTCTGCTTTACAATCTGTGGTTGTAACTGCACGATTACATCTAGCTTGCTACATATATATTTATCTATGATTACATCATTACATTACACAAATGACGTTAACGAAATGTCTTATGATAATCATGTTATGGCATACACAAACAATAAAAAAAAAATTAGGAATTCGGTAAATTAAAGTTAAATATTAATTGATTATGCTACATATAACATAAAACACAAAAAATAACTCAACTGTAAATTCCCAATAGACATACAGGCATATTCGAAACAGATACACAAGAGTACATACACGAAAAATTTACTTCTTAGCAACTCTTTTCGACTTAATTTGAGTAGACCTGGTATCTTTTACCGCACTTGCAACAACTGTCACAGCAGACGAGGCCTGCACCACCAACTCCGAGCTCGGGATAACATCCAGGTCCAGTCTGGAGCAGACACGGTGCCGTGTTTGGTCTGGACCTAATACCAATATGGTGCCATCCTTCGTCCAGCACTTCGAAACTCCGAACCGTTTACGCGCCTCCTGGAATACAGCATGTCGACTTTGTGTGAGGAATTCCGACAAGGTGATTCCAGTGCCTTTAAGATTCTTCTTTGCCAGCCATACTTTGTCTTTCATCGCAATGTCGCGAAATTTCACAAGGATCGCACGGGGCCTGTCAGTTCCCGTTTGACCCAGACGGTGGGACCGGCTAATGGAGTCTGATGTGATACCAGGGATTTTTAAGTAGTCGGATAATACCTTCACAGCACAGGCGGTTGTGTTCTCCTTCTTGTCTTCATTTACACCATGCACCAGCAAAATTTTTCTCCGAGATCTCATCTCCATATCATCATTCTGACGGGTCAAGATTTCTACTTGTAATTGCAAGTTCTCAAGCGCAGTTAGAACAAAGGAACGGAATGTGTTGAACTGATGATTGATATTTGAAGTAGGGCTCGTAGCTGGAATTGCGCTCTTAAGGTCCTTTTGGAACTCAGCCATCCTCAAGTTAAAGTGCTCAGTGAGGTCCGCAACAGATTTCTTAATGGACTCCATTTAACTTTTAGGTTATTGTGTGCGAAGATAACAATATGCTCACTAGTTACTTTGAATTATATTATCAGACTAAACTGGCAGGAGTTGGGATATCACAAATACATTAATTTTATATACAGCACTATTAATATTATATATTTAACGAAAATTTTTACAGAGCAGTAAATAAAGCGTCTAATTTATTCCACTCCTACCGTCAAAAAAAGTATATAATAAAAATATAAAATAGATATATTGTTTCATGTATCCTCTTCCATATATTTAAATATTTTCAATGGTTAAACATTATCTAAATTAGATTTCATTTCAAACTGTTACATATTCTTATCGTAAAGGATATTTATTACATTGAACCAAAAACTCATTCTTTATTATGTACATACTGACTTTCGTTTTACACAATCCTGTCACATCTCTCTCGCCTCCTTCACATCCACACGTACATGCTTTTAATTTGGACATCTATACATATATACAAATAAAGAATATTGAAGTGTGTTTGTAATGTCAAAATAACGGTTTTTTTTTCTAAGTATGTACGATACTTATAACAAAAACACAATTTTTAAAATTTTTATTTGTCCGTGTGTCTGTTAATTCCGGCTAATCTCCGTTACGGCTGGACCAATTTTGACAGAACTTTCACTGGTATTATTAAAAATTAGGGTTCCGCGCAGAAAAAATTAAAACCCATAAAATCCAATCTTAATAAATTTCACGCGGGCGAAGTCGCGGGGAACAGTCTTCAATAAAGCGGGTATTTTACATGAGTCATATACGAGATGAAATGCCATTTCTGACGAAGGCAATGAATCTTTCTGATACTTAACATAATAGTTTTGAACGACTCTCTAACATCGCTTACATGCGGTACGGTATATTACTCCCATATAAGTAAAGGCAAAGCAAAAATTTGACTTCTCCGTGCCGCAGTGGCTTAACAATGAGATGCAGCGAAACGGCCGCGGCGGGTTCAAACCACACACGGAAAAAGAATTTGTATGGGCTGCAAATAATTGTTCCGGGTTTGAATGTTTGTTCATTTGCAATTTATGTATGTAAACTGCCTCCACGATACAGGAGAAAATCCTAGCGCGAGAGTAACGTTTTTAGAAATAACTTAAATTAAATCCCCGAAACAAATAGAGCTGGTGATCTTCAAACGGATTTGAACAGATTTTCTTGAAACATAGCTAAGAACATTCTCGCTTAAGACACCTGTCAAACTAAAAAAGAACTTAATTATAATCGATTCATCCGTTCAGGAGCTATGATGTCACACTACAAACATATATAACACCCCTCTGTTATCGCCGCGGGTTAGAAAACGAAGAAGAAGCGAAATGTTAACTGACCTTAACATCTGAGTACTTGTCGGTCATCTTCACGATGGGCACAGTAGCCTTCTCCAGCACCTTGATGCTCTCCTTCTCTGCGATGTCTTGCACCACCAGCTCGCGCTCCAGCGTCCATAGCGGCAGCTTCTCCCACTGACCTGTACCAGGACATTTAGTTCATTTTTTTACAAGTTCATCGAACAATTTGTACACAAGTATAGAAGCTATGCTGCAGCTATATTATAGTTGTAGCACGGACGGCTCAGCTCGACCGGGGAAAGACCACGCTCTCACAGAATACCAGCCTAAAATACGGAGACCCTTTTGACTGGAAACGAGGCATTCCATCCTATATATCAGGGGTAATAACGCATCTGTATATTGATTCTTAATCGAGGCTAAATGTACTTATTTGCTGCAGTACCTAGTTATTAGGTGTGTGCATAGCTTTATGCAAACTAGACTGTATTTTCTCTCTCATATAAGCAGCGTTTCACCTTAACATAGTTAAAGCCTTTTAAAAACTCGCCTTGTAGGTGCGAGGCTTGAAGGTATGAAGGTCAGGGGTAATTAAATGAAAGGGTTTAACATGTACATGCTGTTTTGTGCTCGCACAACATTTATTTTTATTGATCATTATTATCATTAGTTAACATCCTATTTTCAACAGAGAGCAAAAAGAGAAGTCTTTTAAGTTGTGGTAATATTTTTTTATAGTATAAGGGTGACGACAAGCGAGCACGCAGTCCACCTGATGGTAAGTAGTTCCTGTGGCCCATACACATCTACATCTATCCTCAACTACGAAACAAAATGCAGATGCGTTGTCAGCCGTGAGGACTAAGATGGAATGCCTCATTTTCAGTAAAAAGGGTCTCTGGTTCTCTACACTCACCATACGAAACGCAGCAGCGTTAAGCTGCTATTTTATACTGGTATTCTGTGAGAGCGTGGTCCTTCCCCGGTCGAGCCGACTCATTCGTGCTACAACTATACAATTAATATAGCTGCAGCATGGCTCTACCACGTTCACAGCCATTACATTAGATTTGGTAGGCCACAAATCCTCACAAAAGAACACCGATTCATACTTGCAAAAGATAGTTAGCGTGGCTATTGAAATTAAAAAAAAACATCCTAATTTCAATATAGAAGATGGATAGGTGCTACCATCTACTTGGGATCCTACAATTAATAAAATTAAATACCAACCAATAAAAATATATATATTTTAAAGCTAAAGGTAACAACCAGGCGTACTATGACATTGGGATGGCAAACACCTTACCCCCTCCCCCCTCGTGAGCATGGGTGCTGCAATCACACGAAATGTGGGGAATTAAAAAAACGCGATAAAATCCATAAAGAAATCATTAATTATTTTATCTGCTTAACAAATACCCAGCGACGCTAATGCAAACGATAATTGCAATTATAGATGCTGGCTTTGATGCTGGGCGATAACGAAAACATTCCACGGATAAACTTACATAAATCTGAAAAATTCATCTAGGACGTGAAACCCACTAACCAAGGCCATAATAGCGAAGAGAGACAGAAAGGAATATTTATTTGATGCCACACATTGAAACAAAGAAATATACAAATATACGCGAGGCAAAAATAACAAGTAGTAAATGCACATCATTAATCTATAATATAAAAATGAATCGCTGAATGTGTTGCTAAGCGCAAATCTCGAGAGCAGCTGAACCGATTTCGCTAATTCTTTTTTTATAATATTCCTTGAAGTACGAAGATGGTTCTTACGGAGCGAAAAATTTACAAAATTACCTGTAAAAGTATAAAAACAACACTTTTCTATATTCCCATACAAAAGATTTTTAATAATTGTTAAAAGTCAATTTGAACTTTAATACCACACCATAAGGTTTAAGTGTTAGTGAAGGGGTTCCGGGAAGGCAAAACTATTGAGTGACGTAAGTATCGTACAAATATTAATGACAATATTTGTCAATATTTATAAGATGGTAACATTACTCAAAACAAAATTAGGGTTCCAAGCAAAAAAATTGATATCCATGAAATCGTAGTAAATTCCACGCGGGCGAAGTCGCGGGCACAGCTAGTTAATAATAATAAAACAAAAAAATGTGACATGAAATCGGTTTATCATAATTTTATATGCTTTAGGATAAATTTGTCTCGTTTACTACAAAATTTAAACGGAGTAACAGCCTCAGCCTCAGCTACCCACAGCTGGGCACAGGCCTTCTGTCATTTCTGAACGTTGGCGAACTTCACATGTCACTTAAAATAGCAATTAATAATTTCATTGGTGCCGGCGGGGATCGAACCCGGGTTGCTCGCGTACTGTGAAATTTACAGCGAGCGCTTAGCGCCTGAGCTGCGACGATACATTTACAATCGTTTTCTAAATTTATTTGCTAAAACAGATGTGTCAGCGAAACACTTGGCGTTTTTTGCTGTCATTTAAAAAAAATACTAAATTTGGATGTTTGTCTTTTAACTTAATTTGAAATAGTTTTATGGCAATTATCCAATAATTTTTATTCTACACTCCTTTTACTTCAGCTTTGACCTTTAAAACAAGAAATGTGAATATATATTTTTATAGCTATGCTAATGTGTACCAAAGAATCTTAAGCCAGTTTTTATCACGTTTCTCTAAATGACTGAACACAGCCGAGAGAGACAATCGGAAGGAAAATAATAAACGAATTCTGATTATCCATCACGTTTTGTGTTCCGAAAAATCGCATCAAATAAGTCTCCAACTCAGCATAATGCTGCAAAGGTAACCCTAGTTTTCAGCTGGTGCCTTGCGAAGCGGTCTCTTGCACCACAACCGCCCACCGCCCACCAACCTTCCATTGTGTTTGGTCAGCTGTGGGACATTTTTAGACATACGAGTACGTTTTCATCGCCAAAACACACTCGAGCGGGACACAGGAACAGAGCAAATGTGAGTCACGCTACAAACAGCGACTTCCTCATTCCAAGGCATATATTTCCGCTGGCGTACTGTTTCGATCCGGCTGCACACATTACATATACCTACTTACCTGTCTATAAAAACCTATTATACCCATATTAGGAAGTATTAATATTTAAACATTTTGAAATAACAAAATGGGAGGGATTTTGCCATTTTTGCCACGTTTGGCAGGCGGGTTGGCAACCGCAGTGCTTTTTTATATAAAAAGTGGTGGTGGCCAACCCGCCTGCCAAGTATGACAACTATGGCATCTTCAGATCGATCGTTATGGATCGTTCAGAGTTCTAAGTTACGCTCAATTCTCCCTAACTCCTTTAGTGGACTACACTAAGAAAAGAACACTAGTTCTTTTTAACCGACTTCAAAAAGAAGGATGTTCTCAATTCAGGTGTATGTATTTTTTGTATATATGTTAGGCGATATCTTCGCAGATTGTGAACCAATTTTGATGATTCTCTTTTCATTCATTAAGTTAAACTTCAAGGGTTCAAATTCCACCCCTAAGAGTAGCAAATAATTAACTTGTTTTATAGCCATTTGAAGTCGGTTTTTACTTTTTGTTAAAAGTTATAATTATTGTAAACCGCGAACGTTGTTTCCGAATGTAACACTAAATGTTAACTAAAAACACGCAGTCATTATTTATGTTTACTATTTGTCCGTGTGATTTGAAGTTTATTTCAGATAAACTTAATTCGTATTTCGAGTAACTTTAATTCGTATTTGCCTAAAACAGTAAGTATCGTAAATCTAAATACAACTGCGTGGCATATTTAACGTGTCAGTTAGCCGGCCGCGCGATCCACATCGGACAAGTGTTTGTTCGGAAATGCATACAAGTCTTTGGTGCCTGCATTATGTGATAAGTATTGAGAATCCTTGAGCAATAAATAAATCCTTTAAAAATAAATCCTTTCTTACAGAAAACCAGCGTAAAATAGCAGTTTAACGCTGCTGTTTCGTATGGTGAGTGTAGAGAGCCGGGGACCCTTTTTACTGGCAAAGAGGCATTCCATCTTAGTCCTCACGGGTGACAACGCATCTGCATCTTGAGTCTTTATTGAGGATAGATGTAGATGTCTATGGGTCACAGTAAGCACGTACCATCAGGTGGACTGTGCTCGTTTGTCACCCTATCCTATAAAAAAAGCAAGCCAACTCGGTGCCATGGCTACTGGCAGCTAATTAATATCACACTTGTACTTACAAGTTTCATGTAATTACGCGAGTCACCCGCGTTGTTTGTTGAAATCTCGCATGCGTGCAGCCTTCTCTACTGATTTCGATTATAATCTATTGTGTTAAAACGAATTCTACGTAATCTATTATATTTCATTTGACGTATTTTAAAATTCTAGAAGTTTCTAGTGATTCGCAGCATCCACTCATGGTTAAGACACGTGTTCGACGTCCTGAACTCATAAGTAACCCGGTCTACCTTCTGCTTTCAATTTACTGTATACTATATTATCTATACTAATATCAAAAACCGTGTAGAATTCCCGTAGCGCAGTGACTTAGCATTGAGTTACGACGCCTAGGGCTACGGGTTCGAATCCCGCACGGAACAATAATTTATATGGCCTACAAATATTTGTTCCGGGTCAGCTATAAACTATCTCCACGATACAGGAGAAAATCCTAGTGTGGAGGTATCGTTTTAAAAAGAAAAAGAAAGTTAAAAGATATCGATAATAAAAGAAATAACCAGGAGACGGGCATCAACATCTTTCTAATAACGACTAGAAAATTAAAAACTACGGCAATCCCTTATGAGGCAATCCATGGAGAGGTATGAATGAATTTAAAAAAAAATGCTAATAATATTCTAAACGTGTTAGTCTCTTGGACACGCTTAAATGGCCATTTAGATTTTGGTCCACAAATTGATGTCATGCCCTTGATAAGCACATGGAATGTACTTCTTAACGCGGGAAAATGGAGGAAGTTATGGGTGTTTTTGTTTGCGTTGCTGCGTTAGTGTGGGTCACATAAATACGAACGATGAATGGTTGTGATATATTCGGTTATACCTTCCGAATTATTTAATGCTAGGTAAATACGGTTTACCTAGCATTAAATAATTTTATACACCATATTTTCAAAAGTTATTTATTAGTAACAAAAAAACTAGTGGACTAATTCTGATAAAAGCATATCAGGTTCTAATTATGTTAT